AATAATACAATGAACAAAAGAATTAAAGTGATTATAAAACATATTAAAATAACTGTAAATCGCGAAAATAACTAGTTGAAACATTTAAATAAGTTATTTAAAAAAAATTAAATAGCAAATCTCGAGCATTATTGTATACTCAAAAGGAAGATATCAAAACATAAATGGATTTTTGTTGGTCTATGCAACGAGTCTAGTGATTTTTGAAGAAACCAACATGGTGTTGCCGCAAAAGTCAAGCACTTCATGCAAATGTTGCTGAAGAGCATTTGTGCTCTCAAACTTTTCATCACATGAACTACAAGCGATATTTTTAATGGCCGGCGGTGGCAGAAATTGAAACTGTTCGGATTTAAGTCCGGGCTGAATATCCGATTTTCCAGACAATTGAGTGTTTACGACTCCTTTGTCGTCGATCTGTTTAGTAACAACTTTTGAGTTGTTATTGATCTTCGCTAAAAATGCGATTATTTGTTGCTTTCTTTGCCACCGTGGTCCTTTAATCTTACGTTTTACACGTTGATGCGTATCTATAACGCGAGGCACCGATTTCAGAGCTATGCGATGCATAAAACACCGATGATGTTGCAACGCCTTAAGAGTGTCATAAATTTGACAGCAAGCATTGCATATGTGTTTGTCCGAACTTTTGTGATTATTCGCCTTGTGTATGCGCAATGAAGAGCGCGACATGAAATATTCACCACAAGTTTGGCACATTAAATTGCGTATCAAGTGATAACGGATATGATCCTGAATGGATACTGGATCGTAGAAGACACCACCACAACCTGGTATCTTACATTTCAGTGTTTCTCGAGGATTGCGGTGATCTGATTCGACGTGTTCCCAAAGTTGTGTCTCCGTTATGAAAGACATACCGCAATAATTACAAGCAAACGTTTTTTCCAACGTTTCCACTGGACCACTGACTTTTGATCCCGAGGACATATCACTCAACCCCCCGGAAGTTGCAAAACTAAGTGCATCCGTGTACTGAGATCTACAATGTTTATACTCGATGTGATTCCTCAATGAAGCTTCTGTAGGCATTTTTCTGCCGCAGAAATTACAATCACAAGACAAAGCCAACATTTCCTCGTAGTTATATTCAAACCTGGACGATTTTGATACGAAATCCATAGCGACATACAAATTATAACAGCTGAAGATTTTATAGTAAAAAAAAATGAAGTACGCAATTTAATATACTTCAACAACGAAAAATCACAAAGTGACAGTAAATTTTCCAACTGTTCTACAGTTGATTTTTGAATAGTTACGTTGCCAATCAGCAAAATGTATCTTAGAAATATTTTTTAGCCAGAATCATATAATTTCAGTGCCTATTACTAAAAATTAACGATAACACATTTATTAGGTATTGTTATTATAAGATTCTTAATCTTGTATAATCGTATTAACACTGCTTGATTATTTGTTACACTATTTAAATGAATTAAGAAATTTTTTTAAATAATTTTTTTTTTTTTAATTGAACAAGATACTTTGAGTAGACTTGAAAATTATTATTGCTAGTTTAATGTCTATAAACTTAATGAGATGTGTACACAAATGTAGGGAAAATCTTTTTCAAGTGAAAAATATGATTTGACGTTTTCATACTATACAGTTGAATAAGTTTTATGATGGATGCAAACAAATATTCTTTGCTGTTATGGGCTTACTTTTATGCTAATTAACTTTTGAATCTATTAAACATAATTTAACAAACACTTGCTTTTATAAAATTCTTTTAATTAATTCTGTGATTGTGCAATCTACTACCGTTATTATAATCAATGTATAAAAATACATTAAAAAATAGAGTTTTATTTATTTGACTTACTATACTTAAAATTGTTTTAGATA